GATCTTTAGTGAGTATACGCTGTAGAGAGCTTCTTGAAATTTGCAATTCTTGTCCACAACGCCGAATTGAGGTTCCTGGATTGTCACCGACACTCTCACGCACTGCTTCGATATTGACATTTGAACGGCTTGTTTTTGGACGACCAGTGTGTTTGGCGTCTCCAACTGATCCAGTGAATTTTTCCCTGAATTTTTCAATTAATCTCTTCACAGTTGACGAAGTTAAAACACTATTCCGATCATATTTTGTATGAAATTTTTGAACTGCGGCCGCCAAACTTTCATTATTTTTGAAATATTGTTCAATAATGAACACACGTTGTTCTATCGTGTAACGCTCCATTTTCACTAACCCTAAACTGTCAGCTGTTAAATTGTTTTTTTTTGGGTTGCCAACACTTTACTGCACAAATGGCGGCAAATTCAAATCTTGCGTTAATTTTGGGACACCCTTTATAATAATATTAGTATTATAAAATGTTATATTATAATTGTTCATACTTGTCTCCTTGAAAAACAATGTTCACTCATCAGTTGTTGGTTTTCAATATTATTTAAAGCGCGAACTATTCACTTTCTATAATAGAAGCTTTATCATAAATTTTGTGAAAAGTACTTACAACTCTGAATTTACTGATAATACAACTTTTGGCATAAAAAATGATTTAATTTCTTCACTCATACTATTTACATATTGACACAGTTTAAAGTATACGTGCTTCACGTAATGTTTCAGTTCGAACATAAAAAACACAGTTGACGGCTTCATGTACGTACAGACATGTATCAAATTATGACAATTTTGCATTATATGCAACGCGTATTGTAATAAGTTCTACAATCGGAAAGATTTCAAAGATCCACGTGAAAAAAGCAATGCAGAGATCAAATAAACAAAATGACACACAATCATTGCCAGATTCATATTTTATATATTTAGTTCTAGCCATAACTGCGTTTCAAGATTGGAAAGGATTTTATTATACAATTTATAGAATTGTCTAGTGTACTTGTATAAATTCATACTGAAATATTTAGGTAATAAGATCAACTTTGGTCGAATGTAGGATTTTATTTACCTAATTGATAGAATTCAAATTTATTTATTTAATTATAAAAAAATTTTCTATACGATTTATAGCATATACGTATATATTATTTCTTGGTAAAGTTTATTTATTTATAAGCAGATCAAATCCGGAACAAAAATCTTTTATAAATAAAATTAATATTTCCTGTAATTAAGGTAATTAAATTTTATAAGATACATGTAAAACAAAAAATAATAAGAAAGAATAAAAAGAGGGACTAAATTAATAATGTATAATTGCATAAAATATATTTAGAAACGGTATAGCTAATGTTACGAATTTACCGTTGTATATATCAATAGAAAGTTTATGATTGATCACAATAATGAGAACTATATTGCACAGAACTATATTGCAACAATTTAACCAATCCTATTGTAACAATAAATGATTGTCGTTATTAAACAAGAATTTGATATTGTAGCAGTGAATATAGACCGTGCAAACGTTCAAAGAAATAAAGTATTTATTTTTATCTAAGGGATCAGTTGACCAACAATGTTGGTCTTTTATACCTTTTATACCTTTTATACTAAAAAAATATCATAACGTTTTTAACATTAGAGATATGCGAGGAACGAATTCTTTGCAATTAGGATAAGGTGGTGTACGTCTGTATGCAAACATATTATTCGTTATAACATTACCCTAAAAAACTAACACTATATTTATAAAGATACGTAAAATTCCACATTGAATACAAGTACACTGCCTAAACTCATTTTTGAAAAGAGAATGAGAACAGACAGATTTTATTGTCGCTAATGCTGATCCCTTCTGTGTTAGCATAACAACCGCTAGTCTCGGGGAAGGAAAACTAGTTGCAGTAGTGATCCCCGGGGTGGGTGGGTCCCAATCACCACGACACAGCGCGTCCTCGGGTTGCGGATAGAGGAAAAGCCTCGCTATCTCGGTTGAGGATAGAGGTTAGCTGCGAATAAATTGAATAAGCAGTCGCGGACAGCCGATTGGAATGGTCCTCCTGTTTGGGGGTTGGGCGTGGGTTTGATAGGCTCACACCGTGAAACGACTTTATCTTGAAACAACCAAAACTCGCCATGGATTCTTCTGGGGTAAAATTTTCCGGAGGTAAACTAGTCCCCCGTTCGGATCTCCGGGTGGGGACTACCTCGGGGAACTCATGTCGTATAAAGTCAAAACACGGGAGAGACATCAAAGTGGGTACGTGGAACGTCCGAAGTCTTTACAGACCTGGGGCGTTTCAATCGATGGTCGGGGAGGTCGAAAGGTACGGGGTAGAAGTTGTCGCGTTGCAAGAAACAAGATGGGCCGGGGAGGGTTCGCTTAATGCGGGTTCGTACACGCTTCACTATGGAGGGTCGGAGATCCATAGTCTTGGCATCGGTTTTATGATTAATAGGAAAATCTTATCCGCGGTAAAAGACATTAAATTTATAAACGAAAGATTAGGATTGCTCGTTGTGCAGGGCCGATGGTACAAGATCGCGATAATCAACGTACACGCGCCGACGGAAGATAAAGATGGCGAAATTAAAGACGGGTTCTACGAAGAACTCGAACACCTCGTGGATCAATTACCGAACGATTACATGAAAATAGTCGTGGGAGATTTTAACGCGAAAATCGGTAAAGAGGACATTTTTAGACCAACGATCGGGCTCGAAAGTTTGCACGAGGAAAGTAACGATAACGGAGTGAGGGTAATTAACTTTGCGACCGGCAAAAATCTTATCGTCAAAAGCACGTATTTTAAACACAAAAATATCCATAAACAAACTTGGATTTCCCCGGATGGAGGCACGCGTAACCAAATTGATCACGTTCTTGCAGATAAACGGCGTCACACGAACGTACTCGATGTCAGGTCTTATAGGGGGGCGGATTGCGACTCGGATCACCTCTTTGTAATTGCCAAAATCAGGGAACGTCTTTCGCTAAACAAAACTAACGGGCAGTTGTTTGGAACTAAACGTCTAAATGTACAAGGTTTGATCGAGGGAGAAAACGGAATAAAATACGCGGTCGAAGTAACGAATAGACTCGCGGCTTCAAAGGAAATAGATGAATCGGATGATAACACGGTTGATAAACACTGGGAAAACGTACGAGACGCGATAGTAAAATCGGCGGAGGCCACGGTTGGTTTTTGTAAAAGGAACAAAAACAAGCCGTGGTTTGACGAAGAATGCGTAAAAATTGTTAAAGTACGAAACGAAGCGCGCATCACGTGGTTGGCTCAAAATACGAAGGAAACTCGGGATCAGTTTCTTAAGATTAGGCAAGAGGCTCATAATATGTTTAAAATTAAGAAGCGTCAATACTTAAAACGTAAAATTGAAGAAATAGATGAAAATTGTAAAAGCAGTAACGTACGAGGCACGTACATGGGGATAAATAATTTTAGAAAGGGATTCCAAGCTAGGACGGAAATGGTGAAAGATGAGAACGATAATTTAGTTACGGATACAACGGCAGTTTTAAACACATGGAAAAATTATTTTGATCGGTTATTGAATGTCGAATCTGAAAACGACCGGGAAATAGAGAATTTTGAGTATCACACGGCTGAACCTAGGATTAACGAACCGACAATTTCAGAAGTAGAAAGCGCGATTAAAAAATTAAAAAATCACAAAGCACCGGGTAATGACTTGATTCCGGCGGAACTGATTAAATGGGGGGGAAGTAGATTGATAGAAGAAATTCAGAAATTAATTATCTTAATATGGAATAAAGAAGCATTGCCGGAACAATGGAAAGATTCAATTATAATCCCGATTTTCAAAAAGGGGGACAAAATGAGTTGTAATAATTACCGGGGTATCTCACTTTTACCTACATGCTATAAAATTCTGTCGAATATTTTATTAATGAGGCTTGTACCATATGCAGATGAGATAATTGGAGATCATCAATGCGGCTTTAGGAGAAATAGATCGACTGCGGACCAAATCTTTACTATTCGGCAAATCTTGGAGAAAAAATGGGAATTCGACCAATCGGTACATCAACTTTACATTGATTTTAAAAAAGCGTATGATTCGATAAAACGGGAGAAAATGTATGAAATTTTAACTCGGTGGGGGATACCCAAAAAATTGGCTAACTTAGTCCAAGTTTGTTTAAAAGATACCAGAGGTAGAGTAAGAATAGGTAATCAAATGTCGGAAACTTTTAATATTCATAGCGGATTAAAGCAGGGGGATGCATTGTCACCTCTTCTGTTTAATCTAGTATTGGAATATGCTATTAAAGAAATGCAGAAGAGTAATGATGGTTTGCAGTTGAACGGTACAACACAAATATTAACATATGCGGACGATATTGCTTTGTTGGGAGATAATAAAGAAACACTAATAAATAACGCTAAAATTCTATTAGATAAAACGAAAGAACTGGGGCTGCAAATAAACGTTGAAAAAACTAAATATATGGTCACTGATAGAATTCAGAATATTCATAATAACGGAAACCTGGTCGTCTGTGATAAAATTTTTGAACGGGTTAGCAATTTTAAGTATTTAGGATCGATTTTAAACCAAACTAATGAAATAAGAGAAGAGCTCAAGAGAAGAATTAATTTGGGGAATGCGTGCTTCTATTCGGTTAAGAAACTACTCGGTTCGCGGATATTGTCTAGGCGCTTAAAAATTAGAATTTACAGAACGATTATTTTACCGGTAGTCCTTTATGGCAGCGAAGCGTGGTCACTTACATTACAAGACGAGAAAAGATTTAGGGCTTTCGAAAATAAAGTACTTCGAAAAATCATCGGGGCAAAACGCGATGAGGAAACGGGCGAATGGAGAAAATTACACAACGCAGAATTACATCAATTATATAATAGTCCGGATATTATTAATGTCATAAAATCGCGTCGATTAAGATGGGCAGGTCACGCGGCGCGTATGGATGAGAATCGAATTGCATATAAAGTACTAATTGGTAAACCGGATGGGAAAAGACCATTGGGTAGACCAAGACGTAGATGGGAGGATAATATTAGAATGGACCTTAACGAAATGGGGTACGAGGGTCACAAATGGAGGGATCTGGCTCAGGGACGGGAACAGTGGCGGGATTTGGTATTTGCGGCAATGAGCTTTCGAGTTCCTGACGCCTAATAATAATAATAATAATAATGCTGATCCCTTAGATATAAAAAGATTCGTCAAAGTACATTCTTATATGTCATTGCATAATTTAATGTAGGCTTGATGGCAATTACACTGAAAATTAACTCGCATATTTGTAAAGATACGTAGAATTCCACATTGAATACACCATCCGAAAGAAAAAAATAAAAAAATAAATAATATATAAAAATAATAAAATTGAAAACGCATGAACGAAAGAGAGCTCTAAGCAGTCATTGCAGTCATCGCAATCATCGCATCAAAAAACGTCTGTGAGGATATTATACTTTAAACAAGAATTATACGTTTAAGAATTTACGTTACTCTGTGTGAAATTAATAACCAAATGACAATAAGCAAAGTAAGGGCAAAGTAAGAGTCAACACGTTTCTTCAAAATTAACAAAAGAATATATTTCAAACCACAAAGGCAAAATAGGAGTCTCGCTCGAGCCGTTGGACGGAACGGACGTAATTGATACGCGCTCGTGAATGAAATATTATACTGCTCATCTGAACGCGATCTAACTGTACAAAGCCTTAACAACCACCGACAGACACGCGAGTGAAAGTGTTCAATCTACTTTAAAAGATCTACTTTTGCATTTTATTAAAAATAGGAATCCGCGGCCGTGCGGGCCGGCGGAACAAGAGCCGCAGTTGTGCAACATTCCGGCGAATCTGATCCGCTGATTCAGTCATCAGGACGCTCAACGATATCAACACAAAATGAATGGCAAAACGTCGAAAATAAGAAAATAAAGGCAAATCAGAAGAAACATGAACAAACTAGCCCGGATGAAAAAAATACAGGTCGTAATGCCAAACAAACAAAACTTGTTGATTACTGGCTAGGCTCCCCACCAGTCTCTACAGCAAACAGTTTCGGATTATGGAAAGCCAGTAAACAGAAGACATCGAAAATTCTGATGACACTGTAAAAACAGTTAAAGTCCCGCCTATGTTTATTTCGGGAGTCGGTAACATCACTCCATTAATAAACCTGCTTAATGCTATCGCTAAAGACAATTACTATATTAAAGTGCAAAGCCAAGAGCAGGTTAGGGTTCAAGCAAAGACTATTGAAACCTACGATAAAATAATTGAATCATTAAAAGAAAAAAATACAGAATATCATACGTACCAAAAGAAACAAGAAAAATCTTTTAAAGTGGTGCTATGTCATATACATCATTCTACAGAAATAGAGAGCATAAAAGAGGAAATAGAAAGCCATGGACATAAAGTTCGAAATATTGTTAACATGCGACAGAAAATAACGAAAAAGCCTCTGTCCTTGTTTGCTGTGGAGCTGGAACCAGCAGACAATAATAAAAGCATTTATACTATGCTAGAGATACGGTCATACGAAGAACTTTTGCTCCCGTGCACCACGATGTGTTAAGTGCACAGGCAACCATCGAATATCAGATTGTTTACGCAAAGAAAGATCCGATCAAGTAAAGTGCGTGCTGTGCGAAGGGAATCATCCTGCCAATTATAAGGGTTGCGAAATTTACAAACAGTTACGCAATGCACATTTTCCAACCTTGAGAAATAAACAAACAACTAAGAATCAAAATGCTGTGACAAGTGTCTCACAAACTCCGCAGCCTACATCACAACCAAAGTCGGGTGAATCTATTCGTACTGGTTCTACCTATGCGCAGGCAGCATCTGGCCAAAGGATTCAAGACAACTCAATGAACAATTCTACACCCAACCAACCATATATAATCCAGCAATCTAACGATCTTCAGGAATTAAAATCCATGATGAAAGGGCTCATGGAACAGATGAGTACTATGCTAAATCTACTTACCACAATAGTCTCTAAAATGCCACAATGTTGACTATACAACTGGCAATCTGGAATGCCAATGGCTTATCCAAACATAAAAATGAACTACAAGCTTTTTTGAGAGACCAAAATATTGATATAATGCTCATATCCGAAACACATTTTACTAAGAAGAATTATATTAAATTTAATAGATATAACGTTTATCATACCATGCATCCCGATGGCACTGCTCATGGAGGGTCTGCGATTGTCATTAAAAATAACATCAAACATCACGTCATCAATGAATACCGAACGGAAAAAATTCAAGCAACAACTGTAGTGGTGGAGGAGTGGAGTGGACCGCTCACTATCTCTGCTGTGTATTGCCCCCCAAAGCATGCTACAAAACAGGACGAGTTCGAACAATATCTAAAAATATTGGGAAATCGCTTTATTGCGGGAGGTGACTTCAATGCCAAGCATCCACAATGGGGCTCTCGATTAATATCCCCGAAGGGTAGAGAACTTTGGGAAGCCATGAAGCATCTGAATCTTGAACCAATGTCTACGGGTGAACCCACGTATTGGCCTACAGACAGAAGAAAAATACTAGATGTCATTGACTTCTATATTACGAAAAGCATAAGTAAAAAATACTTAAAAGTAAAATCGTGCCTCGATCTATCCTCCGATCATTCGCCAGTATTACTTGAGTTTAGTAGTAAAGTTATTGAAAGTGAAAAACCGTGTGTATTGTGCAGCAAAAAGACTAACTGGGAATATTATAAAACACAAGTCGAAAAAACATTAAATATGTTTCTACCATTAAAAACAGAAAATGATATTACTGAGGCGGTAGAGCACTTCAACCAGTGTATTCAACAAGCAGCATGGAATGCTACTCCAGCCAACTCAACAATGAGAAAGGCAGACGAATCGTCTGCATTGGTACGACAAAAAATAGCAGAAAAACGACAAATAAGAAAACAATGGCAAATAACTAGGTCTCCGGAGCTAAAAAGGAAGCTGAACAAGGCTATCAAAAATTTGCATAGCTTGCTAAAATCTGAGGCAAATGACAACATACAGGACTATCTACAAACCCTTGGACCAACACAGGGAACTGATTACTCACTTTGGAAAGCAACCAAGAGATTAAAACAACCACAAATCTCGATACCGCCACTGCGTTTGTCCGACGGAGTATGGGCGAGAAGTGCGCAGGAAAAAGCTGAAATATTTGCCCAACATCTGACGGAAGTTTTCACTCCTCACCCTAGCCAAATGCAGTCGGAGGAAGAAGTAATCCACCGGGTTCTAAACGAAACCTATCAGTTGGAATTTCCATTAAAAAAATTTAAAATAAACGAAGTCACAAAAATTGTCCGCGATCTAAGCCCTAAAAAAGCACCAGGATACGACTTGATTACTGGACAAATATTGCAAAACCTTCCAAAAAAAGGCTGGAAATTTTTAACCCAACTTTTTAACGCGGTATTGATAACTAGCTTCTTTCCACTCCAGTGGAAAGTAGCACAGATTATACTAATCTTGAAACCGGGTAAAAATCCTGAAAATGTAAAGTCGTATCGACCAATTAGTCTATTACCAATTCTTTCAAAAGTTTTTGAAAAATTGTTGCTCTTTAGATTAAAACCAATCATCGAAAGGAAAGAGCTGATCCCCAATCACCAGTTCGGTTTTCGCAATCAACATGCTACTATAGAGCAAGCACATCGAGTTTACAACAAGATACTGGCAAGCTTGGAGGAAAAAAAATACTGCTCAGGTGTTTTTCTGGACATAACTCAAGCTTTTGACAAAGTATGGCATACTGGCCTACTGTACAAAATAAAGTCCAACCTTTCCTTGGGCTATTATACCCTACTAAAAGCTTATCTCCAGGACAGGTACTTCTTTGTGAAATATCAGGATGCAGCTACGGAATTACATAAAATACAAGCTGGTGTACCACAAGGCAGCATATTAGGGCCGATCCTCTACCTTCTCTACATTGCTGACCTACCTACAAATTCCGGCGTAATAACAGCGATATTCGCAGATGACACCGCAGTATTAGCTTCACATGAAAGTCCAATTCTGGCTACCCAAATGTTGCAAAATAGTCTTAACGACATTCAAAAGTGGTTAAACACTTGGAGAATAAAAGCCAATGAAGCGAAATCGGCCCATGTGACTTTTACTACCCGACGAGAGACCTGTCCTGAAGTATCGCTCAACGGCCAGCAAATCCTACAATCTGAGGTAGCTAAGTACTTAGGCATGCACTTTGATCGCCGACTGACTTGGAAAACACATATATTTACCAAAAGGAAGCAGCTTGGGCTCAAATTACGAAAACTATTCTGGCTCTTAAATCGACGTTCAAGGCTCACGCTTGAGAATAAGCTCTTGATATATAAGACAGTTTTAAAACCAGTGTGGACGTACGGAATACAGCTGTGGGGGACAGCGGCGAACTCTAATGTAGAGATACTACAACGCTTCCAATCAAAAATAAATATTGAGAATGATAGTTGACGCGCCATGGTTTGTGACTAATGATACCATATATCGTGACCTCCAAGTGCCTAGTGTCAAAGAAGAAACCCTGAACTATTGCAAAAATTACCGTGATAGACTAAAGAAGCACCCGAATATTCTTACAGCCAACTTAATGAAACCAAGATCAATTAGGAGACTAAAGAAAAAAATTCCATTTGATTTCATTCACTAGAATATATAGACATTTCTGGTATACTAAGCTTTTACCCCCAGTGTCATAATACTTCTTGATTTGAATTTGAATTAATATTGTAAATGCTAATATTGATGCAATGATTGAGATTAAGAATACCCGTATAAGGACGCATCATTGGATGCGTACCTTCCATGTTCAACTTCTACGACAGAAATATTGCTGAATGTCAACAAGACAGATTGTAATAATTTGGGGAGTCAAAAAAAAAAAAGGCAAAATTACATAACGTTACAAGTTTCGGCTCCCGGATTGAGCCCTCTTCAGACATTAGCATAACGCAAAAATCGCAGAACAACAACAATTATCGTAAATGATCACATATTCATACCATTCACAGTTCGGGTGAGTACGGCATCTTTCTGTACGATTGAACCGTCACATGTATCTTGAAAATCTTGGCAAAGCTCTAGTTGATAAGAAGAAAAAACTTCAAAAGAACTGTACACAAAAAGATCTACGCGTAAATGAAATAACATACCGGAAATCTAATAAAAATAATAATAAAAAATAATAATCAAAACTCACCAGAAATCATGTGTAAAAAAAATAATACAAACGAGTGTGTCCAAAGTGAATAAAGAACTTTCTGAATATATCCCGAAAGAAAAAACGCAGATGTGCAAGACAGACATCGCACGCCGGCCACTATGTACGCTCAGTAGTGCGGATCAAAACAGACTGAGTGAGGAAACAAACTGTTAGCATCAGAAAGTCAAACTTTATTTATGATGGGAATGTAAGCCTTGTGTAGGCCATCGGTGTCAGTCTGTAAATTCAGACCATTCTTCTGCTTCTCGATATTGAGCATCTCGGAAACCAAACGTCTCCGGTAACAAGGCTCCTCGTCCAAAATTACGACTTTGTCCCATTGGAATTCGTGATCCAGCTGTCTCCTATGCTCAGTTATGACAGAACGCCCAGAAGTGTTGTATCTGATGTGATTGCAATGTTCAGCAATCCTGGTTTTCAATCTTCTGCTCGTCTGTCCCACGTATGAAGCATCACAATCTCCACACGAAATCCTGTAGACCACATTGCTCTTCGAAGTATATGGACAAATATCTTTCTGTACTTTGATGTATTTGTTCAGTTTATTGAGACTACGGAAAGATACCCTGATGTCGTTTTTATTGAAGCGTTTGAATTTCTCCGTGTGGAAAGGGATGAATGGCACCGTAAGCCAAGAAACAGACTCATTCTCCCTGTCATTGTCAGCCAAAACTCTATGTGTTGTGTGTCTGTTTCTAATCAAATTTTTTATACGTTGATTGACTGTGTCAAAAATGAAGGACAGTGGATAGTCATTGTCTAATAAAATGTTGATAATAAATGTCAAATTCCGTGTATGAAACCTAAAGTCTGATAGTAAAAAGGCTCTGTCAACCAGTGAAAGAATCGTCCCTCTCTTTTGTGCCATGGGATGGTTAGAATTAAAATTCAGAAACCTCCCTGAAAAGGTCGGCTTACGGTACCAGTCAAAACCAAACCCGTTCTCATTAATAGATATGGTAACATCTAGAAAAATAATTTTGTCTCCCCCCACTTCAGAAATAAATTGCAAACGCGGGTGGAATGAGTTAAACTTTTCTAATACCAAATCAATTTTCGAGGGAACAACCGCAGTACAAATGTCATCCACGTATCTGAAATAAAATACTACCTCTAAGTCCAACGACATCAAGGACACTGTCTCAAGTCTCCTCATCACCAAGTCCGCTATTACAGGAGATAAAGGAGAGCCCATGGAAGTGCCGAAGCTTTGTTTATAAATTATATTGTTAAATGAAAAAAATGTGGAGTCGAGAATAAACTTTATCGCTCCCAGAAACTCTTCCCTGGGAAGAGGGCAATCTCTGGAAATGGAATCCCACTGTTCATTGACACAGTCGACCGCTATCTCCATTGGAACATTCGTGAACAAAGATTTAACAGCCAATGAAATTAATTTGTATTCATCTGTAATGTGTAACACCCTTTTAATTTATCGACTAATTCGAAACTATTTTTAATGTAACTATTCGCTTTGGGAATGGATTTGTATAATATGTTATGCAAATATGTAGCCAATGGATACAGCGGGCTACCTATCAAAGAGACGATGACCCTTAGAGGACAGCCAGGTTTATAAATTTTCCAATCCATAGACACTCGGAAGTGATCCGTCACTACAATATAACTTTCTGTACACAGTGTCATCAATATAATTTTTTGATTTATATAGAAAGAGTCCTTTGATTTAGTACTCGATTCATGGTGTTACTGATGGAACATACAACGAAGCTCATCCACACATAGACGTTGTGGAA